TTAGGTATTAACCCGTAGCTGGTGGGAAAACAATATAACCTATAGTTTTGTCAGTTGGTGCAGGTGTATAAAAACATATGCAGAACATGGCACAAAATAAGTTTACGTATTAACCCGTAGCTGGTTGGAAAACAATATAACCTACAGTTTTGTCAGTTGGTGCAGGTGGATAAAAACATATGCAGAACATGGCACAGAATAAGTTTAGGTATTAACCCGTAGCTGGTGGGAAAAGAATATAACCTATAGTTTTGTCAGTTGGTGAAGGTGTATAAAAACATATGCAGAACATGTCTTTTTAAAAAAAAAGGAAAATAGGTGGTGCTTCAAGGTGACCTTGAAACTGTATTTGCTTACCACAATAACGTCATTAGGAATCGCAGTTAAAAATGTGTTTGATGTAAGAAATCATTTGCTCACTCATCGTTTAGTAGGAGTGTTACAACTATCTAATGATAAAACCCGAGCACAAAATCATGCTCAATAAATGACGCAATTCACTAAAGATTATGTTTGATCTTCAGTCTCTTCAGTTTTTGAAATGGACAGGGCCATTTTGAACTTTTTGATAAAACTTGCACCGATACTTCTGTTTTCGTAAGATGAAATACATTTACTGTGTTTAAAGGTCATCTTGCAGCGCCATCCTATGGTTGTTTTTCATAAACGTGTTCCGCATATGTTTTTATAAACCTGTACCAAGAAACAAATTTGTCGATTTTATGATTTTCCCATTACCCACATGTTTATTCCCGAATTTATTTTGCGCTTAACCTGTGTAATAATGCTCGAATAATTTATTAGATGCACTTATAGTTTTAGCTGTACAACAATTTGAGTACGTATAAGAACTTCATGATTAAGTTTCTGTCTTGTAATTGCATTTGTGATTCCATTTAGCAAATAATGTTTCACCCTCTAATTAATAAAACCCTTTCTTTAAATAGCGTTGACAATACTTTCTCTTCGTGAATTTTTTGTCTTACAAAACCTTATCGACATCTTCCGATCTACTCTGAACGTAGAAAATTTCTTGGCTTTCGATGGACGTTTGGATCGCTTGAGGAGTCAAAGTATCAGTACAACGTTGATAATTGTTTTTACTTTGGTCTTAGAAATGTGCCTTCGATTAACGATAGAATTTCTTAAGCTACAATATGTATGGTGAAACAGCATAATTTTCAAAATGTTAATTACTCGGACGCTTTTTACTTGGTTTACTATTACGAAAAATACCTTCATGATTTTTATGAGTAGTGGAATATTTTAATAATTTGTAACGGAGTTAAAAGTTCAGCCAAAAAAAGAAATCAAAATTGTTCAACACTTTAATTAAAACACAAAAACCGTCCCTCTTTGATGTAATAGTAAATATTTTAATAAACTTCATTCGAGCCACTTTTGTTTTAGCCAAGAAAGACAAATTTCAAATATGTTAAAAGTTTCGATTAAAAAGATAAAGGACTTATCCGTTGGATGTTTAACGTAATACTGAATTTTTCTGAATTGCCCTAAAGGAGTTCATAGTTTCGTCAAAAGTATTAATAACGAAAGTTTTGATAAAAGACCAAAATGTATATTTCTGGATTTATGTGAAATAAAGAGCATTTCTCATGTACTCTAACGAAGTTAATAAGCCTTGCAAGTGAAAAGCGAAGTTTAATATAATAAAATATATTAAAACAACAAGGTTTGACCTTACGTATTAGGTGTGATAATGGATTTTCATATGCCTTTTCCGTGTTCTTCTGCTGATAAAAGAAAGAAAAGGGATGATTGAAAGTTTCCTTAGAAATCTGCCTCGCTGTCATGTTAACTGCGAATAATAGGAAAATAAAGACTAATAATAATACAAATAATAATACATTAACTGTAGAATTGGGAGGTGGCATAAAATGTCTTAGGTATAATCAAGGACTTCTGGATCGTGTCAACAAGGAAAATATTTTATCTTGAGCAGTATACGCCATCAAACCAACTTCGTGCAGTGTTTGTATCATCAACAGATTACCTGAACGAAATTACTTTTGGTATGTAAAGAGGTTTAATAGGGTGGATGTTTTGGGGACCCTTACAAGCTACTCACGCATTTCGACAGAATTTTGATGAGTTCATGGAATTTGTGATATGCCAAATCGAGGAAATGCTTCTGGGAAGAAACATAAATTAAAATCCTGTAAAAAGAATAGCAAACAAGCCTTTGAAGCGTTGATGAGATATTGTATATCTCGATATACAGTAACCAACTGTTATCTTTCAGGAAAAAGGAAATCAAATTTGAAGGAGATGTTTTCGTTAGAGAATCAAAGCTTAAATGTTTTGATTTTTTCTTGTGATGGTAGATTATGTTAGTGCATTTTAAAAAGAGCTAGTTAGTTTTGCCAGAAGCACAAAAAGCAAACGTGAAGATGGACAAAATCCTTGCTAAAACATCAATACTTAATCTTTTATTATTTGAGCACGTAATAATATTTTTTGTACACTTTAATCCACCTAAAACTTTTGCAATAAAAGGATAAATATAAAGTTGTGTAATAGTTTAGATAAAAAACAAACATACAAAGGCTTAGCCCTTATAATTTTCATGTGATGATATATACTTAATCCTCTTTATCCGTGGACCTTTTTTGCCAAAAGCGAAAAAAAAGTCAACATTTGAGTTAAAACACCAAGGTTAGCTTTTTGTACTTTCGATTTTACATTTAATGGTACAATGGATTATTCATTTGTTTTGCTGTTTTAATCCTGTCTGTAAGAAGAGAAAGACAGACTGGACTTCTGATAAGATAATGATTTTTTAAATAGCATAAATGACTTAAATTCCGTCAAAATTTCGCTAAAACACCTGTGGGTGTTTATGATATAATGGACGTTTTGACATACTCTAACAAGTTTTGCAAAAAAAAGCAATGTTTTAGTATAATAAAAGATGTATTCGAAAAACAAGGGCCTGGTGTTATGTATTTTTGATGAGGTAGTGGATTTATTTTCCATGCTATAAAAGTTACTTTTTCTAGGAAAAGAAAGACATGAGTAAAACATGTTTTTAAGGCTTTTGGTTAAAACACCAGGGGTTTATTCTTTTCAATTTATGACTAGATTATATATTTATTGAAAGACCAAGAATGAGTTCATATATCTTGTAAAATAACATAAGTTGAACGTAGACAAAATTTTCCCTAAACTAAACCTTTAAATTTTTGATTAATTAATGGAAATGTTGACATACCACGTTTGAAATAACGTTTCTGCCAGAAGAAATATAGATTATAATCAGTTAAAAATACAAACAAACAAATAAGGACTGACACTCTGGAACGTTGTATTTTTTGATGTACAGTAACTGAGTGTAAATAAATGCCAGATATAAAAGTTATTTTAACTAAGAACACCAAGCCTTTGAGTTTTTGATTGAAATTGGATTTTTCAAGCACTGTAATCAAATTAAAATTTCTGTCAGAAGAAAAACAAATAGAAAATGGTTTTATGTTCTCAGAAAAAAACAAAAATCTTATCCCTTTTTAATTTTGATACCCTAATACGCTTTCCTGTTTTACTCCTTTTCGTAAAATAAATATAAATATGAAAAGGGAGAACAATTTTTGCAAGAACATCAAGGGTAGTTTTAGACAATTCGGAAATATGAGAAATGCGGCAATATAAAACCCTTCAAATATTTTTTGAGAAAAAAGTTGAAATACACTTTCTCCAACACGATTTTGGAATGCTAGATCCAATTTTTCTGTCTGTCGAGCTCTATTGACCTAACAATTTCCTTAATATTTTTTTGACTTTTAAAATGCAGAAATACCAGATGGTAGAAAAAAAAAAACAGAGCCATCACACATCTTTCAAGAAAATATTGCAATTAAATTTGTTATACACTGTATTTCACATGATTTGGTGATGATTAATTCAATTTCTCTGTCTAGTTACAGTTTTTATTTTTTAACCCTTGGAATACAAATTAGAATAAAAATGGCTGCCAATAAAGAGACCAAACGCCCACATTACACAAAAATGCTGTAAAGGGAAAAGATTCATAACTTCCAAAACGTTTTGTTACTTTAATAGAAATTTGTCCTCAACATGACACCTTGTAAGGATATAAAGTTTTATATTTGTCTAAGTTTTAATCTATTAATACAAAGTACTGTATAATTTGCATGGTACTTAACCTTAAAAAATGAATGTACAAATAATTTTTAAAGCAAAAATTTTCATGACTATCATTTTTGTTATTGAATAAACAGGTGAAAAAGGGGCACAATTCTTTTTGCCACAAGACACAGTTAAATGGATGGATGAAAACAAAATATTCTATATTGGCACATACTTCTACAGGAAGTAACGATGCAAAATATTTTATCCAAATCAAGAACAACGTTAAATAGCTTTATACGTGTGCAATGATCTAATCATTATTGCATGTGTAATGAACAACTCTACATTTGCAGGCTGCTTTGTAGAGGAGACAGTCTTTCTGCATTCGTATCATACATTTATGAACCTTATGGTGAAGCCATAGGAAATCACGTAGGACTTAAGGAGAGGAGGTAGAGACATGAGAACTGGCAAAAGCAAGGTGTTTGCAAATCTACAGCTCATGGATTCAAGTGATGGAAGTTCTGGGATTATACACGTGTCTGTGTTCACACTGCTGTCTGGTAATGTGAGCATTTGATGTGGAAGGAAGGCATTACTTGTAGATGGAAGGGTCTCGGATTCATGGAACTTTAGAAGCATGATTGATTGACAGTATCAACAGTTGATGCATTGTTCACTTCGCAGATGAACAGTTCTACATTATTTGCAGCTTCATCTTTCAGGTTAAATTTTCCTAGGTTTTTGAGATAGTCGTGGTGTTGCGGGAAAATATTCAAATTTGTTTTTTTGCCGTGCCCTGAAATGTATAAGGTGGTGTCGCTACAATCAGAGACAAAATTCTGCAATGGATTCCAACACAGCTGATCATAATGGAAGCTGTTACACAATGATGCTTTCTCTTATGGCTGCTCCAGATTTGAGCCAAAGTTTGATATATGACATTTTGTGAAAGTGAGTCCAGAATAGCACTAGGACATCAGTATCCTGTGCAGCAACCACAATGTTCGTTGTTTGACTCACAACACAATACAGTATAATCCTTGTGTTAGACTCCTCATGCCACCTCTAGATGAGATGATTCCACTCTTTCTTCAACAGTCAGCAACAATAATAATCTTTTTGTTTGTTGTGGCCAAAACTTTTTCCCATCTGAATGGCAAAAGGACACCTCGGTTTCTCTTTCATCCTCCTGATTGCTCTAAAGCCCTGGACACGCTTTTTCTGGCTCTATTTTTGATTGAAGTCACATCAAATACTATATCAATTCGGCTGAATATTGTTTTTCCTTGCACAACAATTCTGAAAACACATATGCAAGATACCCGAATATATGTGATTTCCCAATGACAATCCCCAATCCGTGAAATATAAGTGTAGCCTTTCCACCCACTTCTGTAGCTTCAAGGCTGATTCTGTACCTTTCTTTCACCGTGTCACCTGTTTCAAGAAAGCTGTTTTCCCCATCCAAGATAATGGCCTTGACTGCTATATGTGAAGTGCACAAATGTGCCATTCACAAAGTTAAGAGATGTCACTGTTGCTATTGCAAGATCCATGGACTCCAAAGTACTTCCTGGAAAAGAAGTATCAACCTGCAATACATTTTCGTAACTGATAATGTGCTCAGCATTATTAACTAGTGCAACAAGTTTTTGGATCGAGTGGTCTGCTGAAAAGTACTCGCCAGACCTAAATGGTTGGTGATATAATGCTCGTCCTCATTGACATTGTATACAAAATATTGTGCAATGCTAAGAATCTTGGCTTGAGTTTCGCACTCGCTCTACATCTCTGGCTCATCCTCGAAAATAATTCGACCACCATCAGACAGAGAAGCATAAACAGGCTGTCAAAAACACAAGAATATCACATAATTTTCATTAAAGACAAACCATTTATACACAAGCTGAACCATAATCAGCAAAAGAGCTAAGTGCATCATATCTAGAAATCCGTCTTTAGTAGGATGATAAAGAGGCATTAGTATGGGTTTCTAGTCTTCAAATATTAGTTTCAAAAGTGGTTCATGTTGAAACTTGATTGGTAGAAGTAGTGTCTGGCTGTTCTACATAGTCATGCAATTAAATACATAATTTGTGCATGACTCGAGCTTCTCTTTGAAGGGGGGCTCTTAATGATCAAGGACAGGGATAACTCAATACCAGCTTGCTCTGCTAAATCACAGTATCTCGAATATATCTCTGACAGTACATGCCATTTTCCCCATCTCTTGCCTCAGTTCAAGGACAAGCAATATATAGATTTGTTTGAGCAGATTGTTCTTGATGACATTCTGGTGAACTTCAGGTAGTATAAGCCACGAGATTTACCTTCAGAAGCTATGAGATCATTCACACCGAAAAGACGTCTACTGAAAATTTGATCATACTGAGATACTTCTAAAATCTGTTCACTCATCTTCAAAATGGTCATTATGAGAGTTTGCCTTTTGCACCTGTATCCTGTAGGAACATTTAAGTTTTTCAATTCATTGCCCGTGTTGAGTTTTTTAGTCTAGAAGAGAGCCTACTTGGCACAGCATCTTGATCATTGGCTCTTACATTGCATGTTGCCACCTTTTCTGATTTCAGTAAATTGTTTTACCAGTGAAGCTTTAGTAACAAGACTCGTGCCACAGTAGAGACTGTATTTCCTCTGCCGCAAACAATGACGCAATTCTATTCTGATTGTCTCTAAGTTTAAGTATTGCATCCACAGCTTCTTTCAATATGAACAACCTTTGTTCGCTGCCAGAACAGTTTGACAAATGATGCGTTTCACAAAAACAACTGGTCTTTGTCTTTTGAGACAGGTTCCATGGTTGCTTCACATTGTTGTCATTCTGGAAAAGAAAAAAAAAGCACCGCCACAAGTAAAGCCATTGAAATATGTTTTTAATTAATTAATGTTAAAATAAAAACAGGTTTGTGTTATGAGTCATTTTCACTAAAGGCAAACATCATGTCACATCGAAGGTGTACACTTTAAGTTTAAAACATACCTTCTAATTTACAGACTAAGTTCCATGAAAATGTTGTTAGAAAAATTTAAGACGTGTTTTTACCACTTTTATTTTATGTGAATTGTTTGTTTGTTTGTAATTAAGCACAAAGCTACACAATGGGCTATCTGTGCTCTGCCCACCACGGGTATCGAAACCCGGATTCTAGCGTCGTAAGTCCGCAGACATACATCTGTGCCACTGGGGGGCTATGTGAATTGTGTATTCACAAATATTGCTTTTACTGTTCATTTCATTTCTTATAAATCTTCAAGTAGGTCTAAAGGTTTTACTTTGGATTTTAATAATTAAAAACAAATTTTAAAATTTGGTGAGAGCAAATTTAGATTTATCGCCCCCAAATCATGTCAAATATAGTGTGTAACAGATGTAAGTTCAACATGTTCTTCGAATATTGATGATGGTTGTGTTCTCTGGTGGTCATCTGTTTTTCTGCATTTTAAGAGCTAGCAGACAGACAGCAAATTCATATTCAATACCTCGAATACTGTGAAATGAAGTGTCTGTCAACTTTTTCTCAAAAACCCTTGAAGACGTTTGATTTTTTGCCAAAGATATATCTATGAGATAATGGAGTTTTTTGTTGATTTCTTTTTTACATAACGGTACCTATCTGTATTTTTATGGCAGAATAAAACCTAATTTGCGTAATACACTAAGGTATAACCATATGAAAATTTACGAGATAATTGATTTTTTTTTATATATTTTAGAAAACCAAAAGTTAAAGTAAAATTTTATTTAAGACGCCAAGGCTTGAACTTCTGTACTTTTATGAGATAATGTATCCATCAAAATCCAATACATTATATGATGTACTGTCAATAAAAATGAAAGTAGACAGCAGCTTTGTTAAATCGTAAAGGCTTAGTCATGAGGATTTTTGATAAGTAAATTTTTTAAATGTCATTAACTTTTTTCTTATTCAATACTATATACCAGTACTAAAACAACCTATTATTATTTAAAATCAGCCTAGTTGAAATACCCATTCAAACACTATTTGGTATTTTTGAATGCTATAAGTTCCTCACATTCAACCCCAATGCACTAATACGAAACACAGATATACAGAGATGTATCACAAACCTTCAGTGAGTGGGCAGTGTTTGTACTTCATGGTTCACGTCCCATTGCTGCAAAAATGCGCTCCATACTTTGGAGCATTGGATACAACAAAAGAGAGACAGTCAAATATCACTATTCGGTCGGACAAAAGGAACCCAGTAGTTTGCAGTAAGTGCTGTTGATTAGCTGATTTACTTATAGTTTGTCAGTACAGAGTTAGAGATGACTATGTGTTGGTCGACCTTTGTGTAGCTTTGCAAGAAAATTCTAAAACAAACAGCTGTTTAATATAGAAGAGTTCACTTTACTCTTGAAAAAAAAAAATGTTTCGTTTTAGGGGCTTATATGCAAGTTTCTTTAATATTAATTCTTCGTGTGAACAACTCCGCTACTTATGAGCAAAGTCTATTTTCTTATTATTACAAAAATCCATCTTCTGTTTCAGTTATTAACTATTATAACACTAAATACATTATACATATATCTCACGCCATGTCCGCCTTAACTTCGCAATTAAACCTTGCCGACTAACAATTTATTTTAACATAAAGTAAAATTTAATTGATTAGTTCATCTCGTATTTATACATAAACACTGCATTCATTAGTTATCATGTTTTTATTTATTAGATGCCAATCAAAAACACAAATCGGATGAAGTATTACTGAAAACGATAAATACCGAGTTTCACTACCCGTGGTGAGCAGCGTAGCACAGATAACCTATGGTATAGCTTCGTGTTTAACGTTAAACAAATAAAACTACGAATTGCTTAAAACATGCATTATAGATTTCCATTTTTGAAAAAATGTAAACTAAAGAATATATTTCAGTACCGTAATCATTCGAAATCAGTCAGCTGACACTCTAATCAGTAACACTTAATATTGCGTCATTTTGTTGTCATATTTCAATTAGTTTTTTCATTGATTCCCAGTCCCGAAATATCTTCTCACTTAACTTATATTATTTACTTGACGACTACCGTATGAAATTTAATAACTGTTTTTCCTATACCATTTGAATATTAATAACTTGGGCATTCCTAGTCTTGACTGCTTGGCATTTTTCGTTCAAATTTTAAAGGCAGCCCTAAGCATTTCCTCTGATTTAAATACCCCAGAAATCAAAGAGGTCACGAAAGAAACATGATTTGGTGTCTCGTGAAAATACACTGTATCACAAAGACTGACTACTCCTCATTTGTCTATTCCCCTCGACATGGATTTCTCTTCGTGATGAACGGGACCTCCCTAGCTAGGATCTGTCTGTACAGCTTATCTTCTTTGGGACCTTAATATACACTCACGTGTTTACCATTGTGGTGACCCGTGAAAAAGAAGAATGGATCTTGGTATTTCACGAGTGGTTCACGAGTCATTGCAAATCACTACTCTCGTCTTGATTTATTGTACACGAGAGTGTCAGTATCAGACGTTTGGGTATAGTATCCACAAAACCCTGGCATTGCTATGTTGTCCTCAAGGTATTGAGCTTGTTACAATATAGCACGTCAACTTATGAGACTCCATAGCAAGTAAATACAGTGGTCATCGAATTTTAACTTCCTTATACATGATATATCTGTACAACTCTGGAAATTGTTGCCATTCATCTCTCAATTGACCATTCTATCATACTATGCTTTCTCTACCTGCTACCAGAAATAATAGATGATATAATTTGCATTTGATATCTTCTTTTACTTAAATGGACACAGTCCCCTTTGGGGTGTTGCAAATATTGATGGGAAAGTCCAATCTGTGAAACATTTGCTCTAAGAACATAACACTTCTTTCTTTTCAATACGAGAGGACTACAGTTATTTTATGCTCCAAGTCTGGATTTTAGTGCCATCGATATGCCATTTTGCTCAACTTGCCACTTTTCATTCTTATCTTAGAAAGTAGATGACAATCCATGTGACAGTGCTAATTCTTAGAGAGATTAGGTGCTGTCATTCCTATGGTGTAAGCTAAAGAAAGCCAAGTGACCCTCCTTCACCATTCACTCATAGCTCTTGTTCCCTCATTAAACCACCAGCAACTGATAATATTTCTGGGCAGCTACTATTACCATCCATGATAACTCAACATATTTTATATACTATACTCACTTATGTAGGACTTCCATTGGTTCAGAACAGAGCCTGCAATATCTTATATAGAAACCTGCTCTTACCAATTGCATAGTTTTTCATACGGCTTTTGCCTGGGTCTGACAGTGTTGATATCAAAGCCAGAAAATAAGACTTGGAATAAATTCACTTCCAGCATCTCTTCCACCACAATTTTCAAGGTCGCCTGGGACAAGTTTCAAAAGATGAGTGAAAAATACACGTATTCCTTTTAATCTTGGCCAAGACAAAGAGGGTATCGCCAACGCCCTTATAGAGTAAATTTCCCACCATTCAAGTACCTCCACCTTGGCCAAATAACTTATCTTTTTTTCCAACCTTATTGTCTTGTGGATTATCCTTGATCATTCGCTCTGGTGGAATCCAAAACGGTTTTACATCGATCAGACTCTATAATTTCCATTTCAAGATGTTACACAATAACTCCTTTATTTCTGTTGGTCATCTCCTGGTTCTTTTCAAATTCATCAGACAGAATGAGATTTTTTTTTCGTTTTTATGATAATGGGCTATTGCCATCCTTTTTCAAATCTTGGGAAGGATGCCAAAATGTCTTCAAATCACAGATAAACCACCTTTATTCGCCGTGGTTAATATTCATCTTTTTTGTTTCCTCGAATCAAATCTGGTATGGTTTCTGAAGACAATGATATACTGTAGAATTTATGGTTTGGCTATAAACATTGATCGTGGAAGCCTTTCTCAAAAGAGAAAATGTTGTTTTAGTATTTTGAGAATACTTATGAGACCACATTGAAATCACTATCACTAAAAAACCTCTTCTCCAACAGCTAGAAACAGCCTCTTGTCAGTAATTGAATATGAGGTACATTGATAACAACTCCAAACTGTATTCAATAAACTACTTGAGTGGAGCACTGCAAATAGGTTTAAATTTTCATACTTCTAAAACTGTTTGTATGCATTTCTGCCACCAACATGATTTACACCCTTGTCCTGAGCTCCATCATAGATGTGCACAAATTGTTGTTGTTGCTGAGACAATAGGGTCTTTTCAACATTTCTCCAATCCACAGTCTGCACATGGAATCCAATAAACATCTACCTCATATTCAACATTTTATGCAGGCTGTTGCAAAGTACTAAGACTTATCTTAGCATCCCACCTGGCAATGTGACTTCATGTCTCGTCTTAATGGGCTGTGCATTTACTTGCAAATAACTGGCTACTATTCTTCTCTTTGGCTTTCATAATCAAGTAAAGTTGAATTAGATATACCTGATATTAGATAATATTGTTGAATCTGATGTTCAGCTCATCCCTCCATTGCATATTACTATATTCCAGTGTGACCTCTCTCCGAGTTACTTGAAGTAGTTGAATACTCCTATTGGAAGTACTGGCTTCTTTTTTTAAATAGATACGCATTGAGCCATCCTTCCCTACCATGCTTTATGGGTGGCTTAAAATCAGGTGACTGTGAGGTTCGTCATAGATTGCTACAACTTTAGTGTTGCTCATGGGTTCCATTTTGTAGAGGTTATGCTCAATGTTGAGTTGTATGCAATTTCACTTGCCCTGGATTCTACACAAGCTAAACAATATATGAAATGTACCATCCATACTGATTCACTTACCTCTTTGAAGTTGCTGCAATTGCTTAACATCTCACTCAATTCTCTTCTATATTCAAATACGAATGACCCCACTTTTCATTATCATCTATGTTCAACCATTTTTTCCGAAATCTTTTCATATTATCATTCGAGAGAAAGTTCTTGCTGACATTACAGCTAAATTGGCTTTCTCTGGTAATAACGAACATTTTGTTATTCCACATATGGATTTTATGCAAGACATTATGGCACTTTGGAGTGAGCAATAGCTCAACAAGCTTTTCTAGATCAAATCTACCATCATTGATTGCTTATCTAGTATGTACAGTAATCGAAAGAATGAAGTTGTTCTGATAAGGCTCTACAATGGCCATTGTCTTTTAATACATTTTCTACTGCAAAGGAACCATCCACCAATGTGTGAGTCATTTGGCACTCAAGTCACTATTGTTCACATTTTTCTTTTAACTTCTTTTCTCATTCAATGGCTGTTTTATTTTAGATGAGTTTTAACTTGTGGTGCCTCTTTTCACTAAGCAATGTCGCTGGAAAGAATGTTAATGTTCACCTCGATAACGTTTATAACTTTTTTTACAGGCTATTAGCCTTTTTTAATGATATTTCATATTTTTACTTTAAAAGAAAAGCGACGACAGAGACGTCTCAAATATTGTATTCTTTTTCATAAAACTTATCGTTTCTTTGTTTGTAATTAAGTACAAAGCTACACAATGGGCTATCTGTTCTCTGGCCACAACGGGTATCGAAACCCGTATTCGAGCGTTATAAGTCAGCAGACATACCGCTGTGCCACTGGGGGGGGGCGTTTTTTTCATAAATTTTATTTGGTTGTCATTTAAAATGAAATAATATT